TCATCGGGGACACAGCCTTGCGTGAAGAAAAGTCGAGCCTCCTTTTGGTGGGTGTTTGCAAAGCTATAATAATTACCTGGAGATGGGATCATGGCGTCAGAATTGATACGAATCAAGAAGCCATGAACATGAGACTCACCACGGGGAACTTGGAAAACACAACCCTTTCCGGCACTGAACTGGACACCTGAGATATCCACTTGAACACGCCCGTGACAGACATAAAAGACCATATGCATTTTCTTGGAGTTCTTGGGTTTCTTGACTCCGTCAGGTGGGAGCTCCACAACGCCAGACCCGATGAAAGACGAGCTAAGCAGCTTCGCAAATCGGAAGGTTGAGTCTTTGACTTCTCTGGTTTCGATTCCAGAGGGAGCATACGCAATGTCTGTATCAAGATCGACTTAGTAAAGGAACCAAATATGAAGGGGCTGGGGTTCATACCTAGTACTTCCTCCTCCTTTGAACTCGTCTGTGTTTTCCCGTCCCATTTGAGTGTGTAGCCATGAAGAACACCACCTTCCTTCTCCCAGAGATCAACATCCTCATCTTCGTCCGAAGAGTCATCCTTTCGTTTCTTAGACTTAGACTTGTGGGACGTTGAGCGTTTCCCCTTCTTCTTCTTTTCGGGCTCTTGCTCCTCGGTGCGAATGACCTCTTTGATGGTTGAAAGAGGGTATCGATGTCCCTCGGCTGCCTCCCCGTCACCGAAGACGCACCGTTCGTTGCGCCAGTATGCTAGTGGTCGGACCGAAACCCGCCCAGATCGAGTGTGAGTTGCACTATTGTCGGTGGGGATTTCACGTTTGAGGATATACAAACTTCGGCCCTTCAAAGGTCCTGTGCGGTTGGCGTAATCCTCAACCACCCGATCCAATTCCGGTTCCAAAGGTTCACGCACCGGTGGAGATGCTTTGGTGGTATTTCGCTTTTTGGTTGGCCTGGGGTCGGCATCTTCTTCGACGTTACGACGTTCAGACTTTGGACGTCCGCGCGGCGCAGGGGGTTTTGCCTGGTTCTTGCCTGCCTTGGTACTATTTGGCGCCACCTTCTTTGTTGACTTGGAGGCCAGAACGGGTTCTTCCCGAGGCGGAGTCGTGTCAGTTGTGGATGAATTGCCGTCATGTTCGTGTTGGTCTTGCCCGGGAGAATCGGGTACCTTCTCTGCAGCAACTGAATCAGATTCTACATCCAGACTGCCACCAAAATCTTGTTGTACCGTGGCGAATGCACTCGCGTTCTCGTCGCCGTCGCCGTCGGCGTCGGAAAAGTCTGAAAAGTCATGTATGACTGCGGGCTCGGATTCTGACGCTAGCTGTGCTTTTGTCGTGGGTTTTCGCCGTGTGCCATTCCTCTGGTTTGAGCGTCCTACGTTCACCGAGCGAGTGGAAAGAGGAGATGGATCTTGGCGTAATTCTTCCGGTGCGCCCGCGAAACCTTTGCCGTCAGACGGACTAGACGACTCAAGAATATCCTGCGGGTCTGGAGTTGATTGCAACGCTGGTGTCCTCCGCGGAGACCCAGTGAGGCCAGTCTTCATCGGCGACCGCGCAGCAGGCGGGGGGGGGAAAGAGGTACGTGAGCCATTTGTGCCCTTGAGAAAGTCCATGGGATCTGGCGCATTGCCTATAGAATGTGCATCAGCACGCAATGAGTCGGCAATATAAGGCGACACTGAATCAGCCCACCTTCGTCCATCGACATGCCCTCGGACCCAGCCGAAGAGTTATTTTCCTCCTCTTCAAACCCATTGAGCTGCACAGGCGACTTTTCAGGAGACGAGAAGAGGCCGTCAACTTCTTCCATTCCATGTTCATCGCGTCGACCTTCCTTCAGCGATATGCCAGTGCGCCTAGACGTATTGGATCAGTTTAGCGGTCCTAGTACAAGTGGAATTGACTAAAACATATCGACTCACCTTCCCTTAGTTCCCACATTGGAGTAGTCGAAGTCGCGGGCCTTTCCGGGCCCTCGTGCCATATTGGAAGTTGAGCACTAGGATGGAATTGAAATCAAAAGATAGAGAGAGAATCAAGAAAATCAGTCAAAAGAGAGACAAGGTGGAGGGGAGGAATGCGGAATTTAGGCGGGAAGAGCAACACGCGCCCCCGCTAATCCCGAACAGTCGACGCGTTGTGCAGTTGTGCACTCGGGAGATCTTTTGCATTTCTTTGTACCTTCAAGACTTTCTTTTGTTCTTTCTTTCAATGTCCTATATGCCTATTATGCCTAATGATACTCCCCCCGTCAATCTACTAAAGGAATCGTCCACCTTTATTCCTCCGAGTGTGATTTCAGAACCACTTCTCTCCGGCGAGTCCTACGCGTACTACACCCCATGCCCCAACGCAATCACGCCTCAAGGGACCTCATCCACAATTCGTGATACACTGGAGAGTACACCATGTGTCTTGGGTGTCGATGAAGCCGGCCGTGGTCCAGTCCTAGGGCCAATGGTTTACGGTGCCTTCTATCTCCCTCTTGATCTGCACCACTCGCTTTTGACCGAGAAACACAGCTTTGACGACAGCAAAGTCCTTACACCCGCCGTGCGAGCGAACTTGATGCATCTATTGAATACACCGGGAGATTCATTGTTCGAGTCCTGCGGATATGCGGTCAAAGTACTTTCGGCGCGCGATATCTCTTCTGGCATGATGAGATCACCTACCGCAGTGTACAATCTGAATGCCCAGGCCATGGATGCCACGGTGGAGATCATTCGAGGGGTGGTTGAAGACCGTGGAGTGGATGTGCGAGAAGTATACATTGACACGATTGGGAACCCCGCTACATACCAGCAAAAATTGGAGCGAATCTTCCCATCCCTCAAAATCACAGTGGCAAAGAAAGCCGATTCCTTGTACCCATGTGTCAGCGCCGCCAGTGTGGCAGCCAAGGTGACGCGGGACGTTGCACTGGAAGTCATGTACGAGGCCGTGCTCCGGGCTGAGCAGCCACTGACACCAACCTCCGAGACTTGGGGAAGTGGTTATCCCTCGGACTCCAAGTGTGTCGGATGGCTTCGGCGCAACATGGACCCTGTGTTTGGATGGGGCAATGAGTGTCGATTTAGCTGGGGCACTGCAAAGGAGATGCTTGAAATGAAAGGAGGAGCAAGAGTCGACTGGCCCGACGAAGAGGAGGAAGGGGCATCTCGGTTAGATGAGTTCTTACTATCATCAGCCCCCGGGAAAAGCATGGGCAAGGTTGGATTACGAGATTGGTATGGGCACAGACAAACTGAGGTTCTCTGAATGTGAACGCTCCGTGAAATGTGATTAGACATGAAACTTAATAAAACACTAATGATACCCCTTGCGCGAAGCACAGCAAGAGTGAGAACAAATGAAAAATGGAATAGCATAAAAAGTGACTTGTACATAGAAATAATGGGTATCATGGGTGAGTAAAATCTGAGCTCATCTGTGGAAATTCACAGCGTAGCAGTCGAGAAGTAGAAGTTGTCCCAAAGGTATTCATAGTCCTCCACAACACTGCTTACCAAGTCTAACAATGGCTTGCCTTTCATCTTTCCAGTTAAACTGTGTAGCCAGGACCTGTTTCACAATGTCAGTATTTAAACAGAAAACCAGAGACAGACCAGAGGCAGGGTTCTTACTTGGTGACGTTCTCATAAAATGCGCCTCGCATCATCCACCAGCCCATTGACCATCCACGCTTCTTCAGTTCCTCTCGCTCAAGCCCTGTAGACCCCCGAAGACCGCCAGCGACCCGTTCACGGAAGTCCCGCTTTGCGAGTTGGCGGCAGCCATACTCCATTCCGAATCCAATAAGCCATGGCCGCCAGTTTCGCTTATCACCACTCCACTTTTGCATCGCCAATGCATAGACGACAGGCCGAAGGATGTATAGCACTTCAGCCAGTTGCCCTTGTCCTGTCGCCCGGTGGAGGAGTGCCTTCGGGGGTTTAATGTCATCTGCCGTAAGCACTTTGGAGATGAGATAGTTCGACACATCGTTTACGTCGGGCAGGGACGGAAGGGAAAGTCCCGTGCGAGGCATGGTCCAACTCAAGTCTGAAGACCGCTCGCTGACCGGAGTGTCCATTCCATTCCAACCACTCTGTGGTTCCTCCTCTTCTGTGGTTCTTGGATCTATCTCGCGCTCTGGAAGTGGAGGACTGACGAGAGGTCTGGAGTTCGTCAATCGCAGAAGAAGCAATCGGCAGACTGCCTTCGCAAATTCAATAAAGATGACCACGCGCCAACGGGTTTTCTGGCCACGCCGCCGCGCTGCCATCTCCCAGAGAAGCTCGGTATACTGAAGCATTTGTAGCGCAAGCGCTACCTGGCGATATAGCGAGGAGCGAGAGGTCCAGTATTTGGTATACCGGGAGTGGGGAGTGGGCGGCGGTCGGGGGACAGTGGACGGAAGCCTATCAACAACTCGCGAAACAAGAGAGTCATGGTATAACGATAACAACTGGACACCGGAGTGTACTGCAGGGGAAATCAGCAGGCGTGCCCAAAGGCAAGTACAATGTTACACTGACCACATTCTGAGGGTATATCTGATTCGCGGTATCGCCCTGATAGAAGATAACTGTTAGATTATTGAACAGTTGCATGGTCAAACCGAATGAGAACTCACCTGGGATGATATAAGTCAAAGATCTCAGCGCTGACTCGACTTGACCAACCGAGCTGGCATTCTTGGTCACGAAGTCCTCATAGATAGAAAGCCATTTAGATGGTTGCAAGAGCACCGGCGGTATTGGATTCTGGATATTGCGAACGGTTTCCATCTCTAAGCTTCAAGCATGTTGAGATAGCGACGGAGGAGATGGGGAGGGTGACCTCGGGAGGTTGCAAGGCACGTGGTCCCGCGTCTTGCGTCTGCCAAGATGCCTTGGGCCGAGGTTGACGCTTTCATACTTACATTTACCTATGAACAGATGGTTTCGGATACCTTTCATGATGTGTTTCTAGTCATAAATCAATATTGAATAGGCTATAGAAATATGTTTTTCTTATTCATCATTCATCCGCCCATGTCCATAACCCCCCAGGGCGCATAGCCTCTCGATATCGCTCTTCCACTTTCTCACGCTCCAACCTCTTGGCAGCTTCAAGGTCGTCTTCCTCCTCCTGTGTATCTGGCATCTCAGTCCGCCAGAAGCCAGGAGGGGATTGAGCCCGCTGATGGGTATGCCGATGTCGTCCATATTGGTTGGCCAGGGCCCTGGCTCTCGCTTCCACCAGGAGATTTTCACGCTCTTCACCGCTCATGTTTCGAAGCAATTGTGTATCTTCTCCCAGGAATTCCTGTAGAATTGCCTGATCTTCTTTCTCCTGTTCTGCTCCAGATTTACCGGGGAAACCCCCAAGGCGGGCCATAGCCCGGAACCGGTCCCCACAACATCCTGGGCGAGTGCAGCCTGATATGCATTTGCGGTCATGCTTCTTTCGGATAACTGCATCATATGCGTAATCAAGCCCTTGATTTCTAGCCGGATTGATTTTGAAATGTTCCAACCCAAGACAACGAAGAGGTCTTGCCCGAAATGGTTCATCATCGGGGTTTATATTTGGCGCCGTTTGACTCAACGTCTTGGGTGTTAGTTGATCACTGCGGGTTGCATCGTTTGGCTTTGGTGAATCAAGGCCGGAGACTTTGCTCGACAAATGAAGTGGTGATCTGGGGGGCACCGATTGTTCCAAAAGGTCTTCCAGGCGTCTTTGTGCAAATCCACTATTTGTCTTGGCTTCCGAAGGTCTGATATTGACACCGGAGCCAATTTTCGAAGACGTCGGTAAGGAGGTCGCGTCCTCGCCGTCTTCTGCCAGAGCTGGTATTGCGCGTCGCTCTAGATCTTGGAGGCGTTTCGTGGAGGATCCCTGTACAGAGAATGTAGCCTTGCGTATGTTGCTGTCACCTGGTTGGGGTATAGATGGCTGTTGAGATACTTGCGGGCCTATCGGAATTCGTTTCGAGTGATGTGCGACATTGACATCCCGGTAGGCTTTCCGTTTGATTGGTGTCCGTATCGTGTCCCCTATCTCATCCAGATCTTGCGTGCTTACAACTGGCTGTTCACTGTTGTGTATTGAACCTCGAGATGGACTCGAGGACAAGATCTCTTTTTTGACAACTGCAGGGCGCTCCAAGCTCATCACCGTCCGCTGGGTGTGCACAAGACACCTGTCGGGAAGTGTCGGGGAAAGCCTCTGCCGAGTCTGCTCCCCGCAGGCATGAGGTAGGAAACATATTGTATCAGAAGATTCTGAGGGTTCCATATCGGGTCTAGGAGAACTAGACTGAGTGGAGGCTGACTCTGATGTTAAGCCGTGAATTACTCTTTGGTTATCATCTTCAACTCTTATATCTGCATGTTCATCATCTGCGCGGGACCTTCTTTGTGACAACTTGATGGCCTTGGCAGGAAGATCTGGAAACTCTTCTCTTGGGCGTTTCTTCGAGGAGCCTTGGGTCTCCGAGTGTTTGTCGACATCCTCGAAGGTGGGACTTTCCACCCTGCGGAATTTGACGGGTTGACCATTGAGAACAAGCGAGAATTCTCCACGCTCTAATTGCTGATCCCACCGCCGTAGCTTCTTTTTATGCTGCAAAACTCGAGATTTGAGACCACTCCAAGTTTGGATGAATGTCTGTAAATTTGTATAAAGCGCGGTGTATTTGGCCTCAACTCTGTTCCGAGACTTCCGAAAACTGCGATGATCCTCCTCCTCCAGGTTATCCCCCCACAGGTTTTTCGGGTCAAATTCGGTCTCTAGATTGGCATATTCCCCGGGAAGTTCAAGATCCCGTGGATCAACTTCATATTGTTGCAGCTCACTCCGGAGTACCGTAATATCATGTTCAAGCTCTCGAATTCTGGTCTCTGATCGTCGCTGTGATTGGCTGGCCATTGATTCTTTTAATTTTGCCTCTTTGACGTATGCATCAATATGGGATTTCATGTGCTTATAGGCATTGTCGAAGGATTCCTCACATGCATTTGCCACAGCAGCGTGGAGCTCCTTGACAACTTCCATTGTGAGGTTTATATTATAGCACCGAGGGTAACCACACGGATCGGAATGAAAAGGAAAAGAAAACAAGCTGTAGACGTCATGTCAGGTAGAGATATAAACGCGACGACGCGTCGAGGCTAAATGAGCACACGTGAGCTTATCACTTGCTGATAAGATCCTCGGTGGCTCGGGGCCAACTCCACGTACAATTGTCCCTCCACCTTTAACCACTATTGTTTCTCTGAACGTGCGGAATGATTTCTCCGATTCGTTCTACTAGTCTCCTCAAAGCTTTTTCTTCTTTTCCTTAGCCCGAGAAAGGATGTCTAAACGATGCAGAGACCACTGGGACTCCGATCTACCGCAAAAGCGGATCCGTACTCGGAACGACATCAGGCCTGTTGATCGTCTGTCTCGTCTGAGCAATGAGTTGCTGCTCCATATTCTGTCTTTTCTACCAGTATCATCCCTTAACGTGTGTCAAAGGTATATATATACTCTCATTTTCGTCGGTCCTTCTCGGTAGGTCTCGCTAACTTGCTACCTCAGGTTATCACATCGCTTCCATGTTCTTGGTGGAGACTCTGAGATATGGAAAAGGCAATACTACTCGCAATGGGTGCGGCCCCGTGCCCGCCGCCTTGCAAATACTAGACGCACAACCCTTCCATCCAAGACAGATTATTCGCCCAAGGTCGCAACGTGGTTCGACCACGGGCACTTGGCACAGGAAGGCAATTGGAAACGGCAGTATCGGCTCAGACATAACTGGTCCAAAGGGCTATGTCGGGTTACCGAGGTAGAGTTTCCTCGGCCGCCATGCCCTCCTACGCTAGTCAAGTTTTGTGCTGGGATTGTCTTTACGGCAGACTCAGCGCACGGGCTCCGGGCTTGGACCACAAGAGATTCAGCATGTTGTCTCGCAAGAGTTCCTTTGTCAACTCCATCGAGATCATCACCTATGACTCCAACCGCCTTGGCAGTAAGTCAGATCCAAGATAAGATCGAGATCTCAGTTGGTCTGGAAAATGGTCATTTCAGCCTCTTCGTCTTGTATCTTCAAACATCCCAGCTAGACTTGCAGTCTTCTCATGTCGGCCGCAGTGATGCTGCTATAACAGCAATTGCTCTATCGTCGCCGTATTTAATGGTAGTGTCTCAGCACAAAGATTTGACCTTGTACAATCTGCAACCTGGCAGCCATCAACCGGGGGCAACCGCCGAGTCCTCAGAGCCCCTCCGGGTTGCCTCCCTCAAGGCAGATAACATGATTGCACCCATGACACTATCTCTTAGAGTTTCGTCGTTTGAAATTGTCGCTACTATTGTGTATAGTTTCTTCCACATTGGCTGTGGGTGGTCTCAGGGGATACAAGAACTGCGTCTAGGCAAAGATGGGCAACAACTCGATTCCCGACTGGCCACTACAGTGGATTCCCAATATGGATTGAGGCCACTTCAATCCAGAAAAAGGCGGCACTCTGCAACCGAGTCGGTCGACAATCAACCTCCCATTGACCCTGGGACACCGTCTATCATACATCAACAGCCGCCAACCTCTATGTCCTATTCCCATCCATATTTGCTGACCTCTCATGCCGATAACACGTTGACTATGTACCTTGTTGTATCTACATTGGAATCTTTGTTTGTCCAAGGAGGCCGGCGACTTTGGGGCCACACCTCTTCTGTATCTGCTGTTCAGGTGACCAACCGCGGGAAAGCCGTCTCTGTAAGCTCTCGAGGGGATGAGATTCGGATATGGGAGTTAGAGATGGCGATATCATCCCTGGGCAGCCGCAAATTCTTCGAGGAGAACGGTGTTCAGCTCAACGCTGGGAACAAGGACGGGGAACCCGAGCCAGAACCAGAACCAGGATTAGGACCGATTTACCACAGTTTGGGCAGTGTGGATCTGGAAACTCAAGAAGTGACTGTGCCTATCGGATTTGATGATGAACGGGTACTTCTCCTTCGAGAAAGGACCGGAACACAGCTACTTGAGTGTTACGACTTCACCTAACACAAGATATATATATATATATATATATATATATCATGTGTCGAGGTATGCCAACAGATAATGAAGACGGAATCATTCCCTAACTTGGCTGTGACGTGTTGTTTAGCGGGCGTTCGGTAGCACAAGGTACTCAGCCCACCTGGACTGGGGACCCTGGCAAGACAGGGGTTGTTCTCCTATATATAAAAGTTGGACCCTGAATCTTTGTTCGACTTTTGTTATTTTCCATTCTCCGGTCTCATCCATTACATTACACCTTTCCAAATGGATAAAAAAAGGGATAGGGCAGGCATTCTCTGAATCCGTGATGACTTCCATTCTAGAAAACTCGGGTGAGGACTGGGGGGAATCCAGAGAAGAACAGAATACCCAGAAAACAGAATATCCAAGTGAGAAAGAAGCAGACGAGCAAGAATATCCTGAATCAAAAAGAAGTCCATCTCTTTCTCTCTTCAGGGCGGTCAGCTTTGCGGGAAGATTTCTCCCCGCACTACAATATTATATTTTTCAGATTCTTCAACTTCTTCATTCCTAACGACTTATTACTTTCCCTCTTATAAAATTCCCAATCCCCTTATTCAAATATGGACTTCCCTCCTGCAGGACGTGGTGGCTGTTTCAACTGTAAGTTCTTTTTTCCCTTCTACTGCAACCTGGACTGGGAGAAATAAGCACCGGCTTGGTCAAATCCTGTGAATACGTCATATTCATTCGGAGAGCTTGTGGTACTCGAATTGGATCCGGGGCTCTATTGCGACATCTATTGCGCAAGCTGATATTTACTAACTCTCTTCTTTTATAGGCGGCGAGGCCTCCCACCAGGTAATTACAACCTTTGCCCGATTTCCTCTTGAAAACTTGATTTAAAAAAGGAGACTCGAAGCTTATCTGCTCTTTCTAGGCCAAGGACTGCCCTAAGAAGGGAAACCCTACCTGGTAATTTCTCTTTCCCTTTGATCTGTCAATTCAAAAAGCTAACCCAGTCCTCCAATAGCTACAATTGCAACGGTACGCTCACTTCAAAATCGTCCATTGGATCTATGGACTGGTTATTAGAACGTTGCTAATCAATTCAATCACAATTTCAGGCCAAGGTCACTTGAGTAAGTTGGAATTGAATATCGCGGACTCTATTTGGACTTGACTAACATTTTTTTAAAAAGGCCGCGAATGCCAGGAACCTGCCAAGGAGAAGTCGTGCTACCGTTGTGGCCAAACCGGACATCTTTCTCGCGAATGCCCTCAGGGAGGCGACAGCAACTACAGCGGTGGTGGTTCCCAGGAGTGCTACAAGTGCGGACAGGTCGGCCACATCGCGCGGAACTGCTCCCAGGGTGGTAACTACAGTGGTGGTTACAGCGCTGGAGGCGGCTACGGTGGTGGGTTCAGTGGTCCAGGTGGTGCCGGTGGTCGCCAACAGACCTGCTACTCCTGCGGTGGCTTCGGCCACATGGCCCGTGACTGCACTCAGGGTCAGAAGTGCTACAACTGTCAGTTATTCCGGGTTTTCTCATTCGCCGGAATATGCTACTAACTTGTAAGTAGGCGGCGAAGTCGGCCATGTCTCTCGCGACTGCCCCACTGAGGCCAAGGGTGAGCGCATGTGCTACAAGTGCAAGCAGCCCGGCCACGTTCAGTCCGCTTGCCCTAACTAGGGTGCCCATTGCTTGCATTGCTCTTTTGGTCAACATCTTTCTACAGTTTCCATGGGATTGGACGACATTTTTCATGCATGCACGAAACGAATTTCTCTTTTTTTCCTGAAAATGTATGATTAGAGATCAACGCCTGACAAGGTTGACACGATCTAACTTTGATGACTCCTACCTAGGTTGTTTGGTAATTCGCGGGTTTTATGATAACGCGTATAAAATGTGAAGTAGGGAGTCTGGCAAATACTCATATTTGCACGTTTAATTCTCCGAGGCTATCTCGTGGGAGCCGATGCATTTGCTATCTAGCTCCAATCGGTTCTGGTTCCTTAAAAAAGTCATATATCATACACTCGCCTCCCAGAGAACTGAGATCGGTATAGCGCTCGTAGCTTGATTACGAGCTGCAACTGCACATCATAGCCCTTTTGTACTTGGGGACATCCCCGCAGAAACGCTCTTCCTCTTCGTTGTGAAGACCCCATTCATCGTTGAATGGATTCAAAGACATATGCATGACCCGGCCTAGAATATCTCGGTCTCCTTTGCGCTCCACACGCTCGATGACCTCGTCAAGAATCCACCCTCGAGGCACAAACTATCAATAGGTTAGTCGATGGGCACCGGACTTCAAAAGGAAGATTTCAGCAGATACTTACGTTCGGGTTGACTGATTTCATGGCCTTTTGTCTTTCCTCGTCGTTTGCGGGGCCCCAGTCCTCTAGGACGCGAAGCCGCCAAATATCCAGCCATTTCGCAATGCGATCTCTAGCTGTAGCCTCAGTGTATCCAATTCCACCGAAACCTTCAGCATGGAAGAAGACCGAGGCTGCTTCCCTTCGGCCTTCTTCGGTCTCCAGATTGGATAGAGGCAGCCCTGAGAGCCGGCGGAAGAAGTGGTTGAAGTCCAGTTCAAGTGCTTCGAGTGTGTCTAGCATATCCGAAAAAAGTATCTGGAAGTCTGACTCGGCCTGTGTTTTGAGTCCTAGCCTTTGGCCCATCAAGCGCTTGTATTCGTTTAGGAATACTGCTTTGAACTCCTCACCCACACGCTCGATAACTTTCTCCGCACGCTTGATGAGTTCCGGTTCAAATTCCTTCGTCACCCCGTTATTGACGAAGCTTTCCTCGTCAACCTGATTTCCGGCCCCAATCAACTCACCTAATGACTCTCCAAGTCGGACCAGATTCCACCAGATAATGCTGGGTTGGTTGCGATATGCGTATCGCAGCATATGGTCATCGTGGTTCGGTGTGTAGTGGGGATCAAAGTTGTCCATAAACGCAAATGGGCCGTAGTCCAGTGACAAGCCATAAATGGATGTGTTGTCGGTGTTTAGCACGCCATTCATGAAGCCGTAGGCCTGCCATGCAGCCACTGTCTTAGCATTGCGGCGAGCGATTTCTCGATACAGTCTAGCAAATCGATTTTCTTGTACATCCTGGTGTTCTTGTACTTGATCGCCGGGGATACCCCTACGAGGATTATCGATTTGCGTGGAAGACTGCTGGTCACCCAGCGATACAATGGCGGGAAGGGATTCCCATCCGCTAAAAACGTCTTCTGCAACATATGTCGCAAGCTTCCTGATCAACTCACGATCTCCGCGAACACGAAGTAGATCAAAGGTGCCGATTCTTAGCCAAGTTTCAGCAAAACGAGCAACAATTGCTCCTGGTTCAAGACGCTCTCGCAATACCTTGGCATTGGGAATCAAGGTGAGTGAGAGTGCCCGAGTGGTTGGTATACCGAGGGCAGATAGAGCTAGCAATGTTTCAGTGGTCTATCCTTGGGTTTCATACAGCTTTACTTACCTTCTGAAACCACATATTCACGGATACTTGACCGGAGGACAGCTTTGCCGTCTGCAAAACGTGAATAGGGTGTTTTGCCTGCTCCTTTCAGTTGCAGCTCATACCGGGTATTTGTCTGAGGGTTGGTGCATTCGAAGAGACTGATTGCACGCTATTTTGTCAATCATTAGTATTTCTAGTGAACTGAGAACTCATGTTAATCCATTAGCTTACCCCGTCTCCGAGCTGTCCAGCCCATGAACCGCTGCATGTTGTCAGCTGTAAGTCACATCTAGCTTCCTCCGTAGCTTACAATTGCCAGCCTGAGCAGGTTAGTTTCATCTGGGTTTCTCGGGCATGACAACGTGGGTACTGACCTCCATAACACTGTGCCCATGGGTAGATTCCACCCTGTTCCTCGTTCCACCAAATCTCATTCCCGGAGACTAGTGCCTTGAATTGAGACGTTTGTTCCTCGCCTGGCTTCAATCCCAAGTCATTCATCGCTTTCGAACTGACTCCTAGTAGTTCTGGCTCGGCAGTCTGCTCTGGGCGAATATATGTGAACAAAGCTCCATTGACCATGCGAGGCCCCAAAGTTTCCCTTGGGGCCTTATGAGACAATTCCGGTGTATCGAAAGCCGGATCATGGGGTAATTTAGATGTGAAAATATTTGATTTCGGTAACTCAGCAAGGGAGATCCCGGCAGTCGAAAGATGTGATACCATTTGGTTTAAACGGTTCCGAACCGACGGTGGCCGAAAGCTGCGTGGAAACATATACCAATTTCTTGAACATGCGGCGAGCAGACGGAAGTTCATAGAGAGAGGGAGAGACCAAGTAATTCGGGGATATGGATCCAAGTGAAGGTAGTGGCCACTGGAAGTATGGAGAGCTCTGGAGGCAGCTCCCGGGAGGTTAGAAATGACATAATTGACATTATTAATCATTGCCCAGTCCACGGGTCTAGCGTGGACAAGCCCCTCCTCCCCCAGGTACCACGGCCCAAGTATCCCTTACAACACCTTTCATCATCCTATATTACTCTTTTGGAACACCTTGGAATCATGGCAAACATTATTTCATCTATTCCTACATTGGATCTCAATGACGGTACCTCGGTCCCTATCGTGAGTTATCTATCATTACCCCACATTCATAGATACTATGGGCAATATTCTCTAACAAATACAGCTTGGATATGGCACTGGTACCGCGTGGTTTAAGAAGTCCGCTGACATCGGTATCAATCATGAATTGGTCGAATCGATCAAGATGGCAACGAAGCTAGGATACTACCACCTCGATGGAGCTGAGGTCTACCAAACCGAGGAGGAACTGGGGCAGGCAATTAAAGAAAGCGGGGTATCTCGAGATAAACTCACCGTGACGACTAAGGTCATCACCAATATTGCCGATATTCCTCAGGCTATTGATACCAGTCTCAAGAAGCTCCAACTTGACTATGTGGATCTGTAAGTCAACTCCAACGTGATGTGAGTAATGGCTCGCCCGGGGACTGCTTCTAATCAATGGAGCAGGTACTTGATCCATGCTCCGTACTTCGCAAAGTCCAAGGATGTACTTCAAGCTGCCTGGGCCGCAATGGAGCAAGTAAAGGCATCTGGGAAAGCCCGGTCCATTGGCGTGTCCAATTTCTTACAAAGCGACTTGGAGACCATTCTCGAGACCGCTAAAGTGGTACCATCTGTGAATCAGATTGAGTTCCATCCTTACCTTCAACGTGGCAATCTTGTTCCCTACCAAGAGAGTAAGGGTATCAAGACTGTTAGTTATGGGGGTCTCACCCCTGCCACCCGGGCCCAGGGTGGTCCATTGGACCCTCTGCTCTCTTCCTTGGCCACCAAGTATGCAGTCAGCCAGTCCGAGATCTTGTTGCGCTGGATAATTGACCGTGGCTGTGTGGCTATTACCACTAGTGGCAAAGAATCCCGCCTGAACGGCTATTTGCGCACGTTTACATTCAAACTGACTCCTCAAGAGGTTGATGAGATCTCCAAGGTTGGCGAGCAGAAACATTACCGTGCATTCTGGCGTGAGAAGTTTGCCGATGATGACCGTTCCTGAACGGTGAGGCTTCAACAACACAACCCTGGCATGGAGTAACTTCTACATATTCATTCCCTACATCCTACCAGGCCGACAAGGCACATACATCCTACATATACATATGTGCATGTGCATGTGCATGTACATAAGTGTTCGAGACTTTATATATCCTCATCAATAGATGTGCAAGTACCTCCAGGGCTGTATGTAATGAAATTATACGGTAACGATAAGCCGATAAGCAACACCGTAACCGACCTAACGTAACCTTCTCCAATTCATCGGTCTCTTTCATTCTATCCGGGGACATTTCCCATCTCTCGCTCCTTAATGGAAAGAGGTCACCCTCTCATTGTGACACATCCCACTTTTTCTTTGTTACCCTGTGTTTAGTTCTCCCTCCCAATTGCGTGGCTTCGAAATCCCAGGGTTATGGGAACACCCCCCCCACGCGCGATAGTGATAGGATGCCCTGATTATTCGGCACCTGAACAAGGCCGGATCTTGTACATCCACTATCCTTCACTTAACTCAATGCGTTGACTATCACCAGGCAACTCGCCATACCGACTCGAGCAACAGGACTCGGTGATAGACTTCGGCCCAAATTGTGCTTGAAGCGCGTATCATCCTAGCATCTCTTGTGGAAGAACAATTCGCGAAACCCTGCGCACTGCGATGTCGGTGAACGAGAAACGCCATTCCCAAACCACTACAAACCTCCGAGCTGCGAGTTCCTCCACGTCGGACCGTGAAGTTCTTGACCAACGATTACAGCACCTCTCGGACGACGTTCTCCCCCCCGTTCCATATTTACTCACATTTCCGACCAAAACGCCCTTTAACCCGGGGAACCGGCCCGCCAACAATTGGGCTGTAGGGCATGACAGACCCTTCAGCTTGGAGGAGCAGCAACTACAATATATGACCTTCTTGACACACCACGACACAGACTCATTGCTTCTAGCGGTCGGGGACTGGTCAGACGAAACAGGGCGCATGATGGCCGATCGATCAACAGCCCCAAGCGTTGGAGAAAGTTCAAGGGAAACAGTGGCCAAAAAGAAGATTAGCCTAAAGGACTACAAGACTCAGAAGACCAGTGGCCCTGTCGCATCCCCCGTTGGCCTCGAAGCGGGTAGCCGAGGCGTATCAAGCTCCGCCAAGTCCGAAGAAAGACGACAGATGATATCTTCAGAACCCCTCAAGAATAACGATAAGACTAAATTGCCTCGAATGCCGCCAAAGTCACATACGCGTCTCTCTCCCGAAAGAGCGGGCCAGAAACGGCCGTCTGGGCCGGAACCTGAATACCATAACCCCTCAGCAACTAAGAAGTCCGAGGCACATCATATAAAGAAACTGCGGCTCTCTCCCGAGAAAGAGACACACCGAGAGCCCTGCCCTGCCAAATTACACTCCCCCAAGCTCCCCACACTTCTTTCGCCTACTCTCCCACCGACATCGGGTGGCCCTAGACTTCCGCGCTTGCTGTCTCCTACTCTCCCCCCAGACATCGAAAGGGAGTTGGCTCGCCTTGAGGACCGTTCACCGTCTCGCAATAGTCGGGCAGGAAAAGGATTGCCTGCCAAAGAATCCAATATCCACGAACATACAAGAGACCACACTCGTGCCGACCCACAAAAGATGCAGCTTCTTACCAAACTGCGGTACGGAAGAGCAAACCGAAAGCGTGTCGAAGCTCTGCTTAAATTCTCTGGTAAAAGGAAAGCCCATCTGTCCGATTCACCGGTTAGCCAGGATACAGATCGTGATGATATCTCTCATCCCAGGAAGAGGGGAGGAGATACTGGTTCGTCTCGTGGGCACACATTCGCGGATCCGAAGGGCAAGAAGCATGAGACTGAGGAAGCTCTTGGTCCTGAAGCTGGTCATTCAAGGGAGCCAAAAACCTTACCTGAAAAGCCTCGAACGCCGGTTCCTCAGCAACACCTGACCTCTCATTCAATCACCCATGACAAAACCAAACCAGCTTCCATCACGCCGCTGAAAGACGTAAAACCTCCTGCCTCTCGTCGAAATGATCTCGGACAGACCGATGGGACCGATGGCAAGAATCCTCCCAATCCCGCCAACAAACGTCAATCCGTTGATCCCGGGTCAACCCTGAAAGTTTCTCCGACACAGGGAGATGGTCGTACGCGCAATGAGCGGCAGTTATGGTGGGATGAGTGGCAAAGGTTTGCTAGCATCGGGCGTGAATTGAAACATGCCGCAGAGCGGCATACCTCCAAAACCGGAACCTCGGTCACTGACGAAAAGCTAGCCGTTGTGACTGCAATCGAAGCGTTGTTGTCCTTTATTATGGCATTTGTAGCGAACGACCAGGCCAAAGCTTCGTCACGCCAGGTCGGCGATTCCTCGACATGGCTGTCTATTGTGCCATACTGGCGTGTGGTCAGAAAGAACAGTGTACCATATCCGGCATTAAACAGTCTCTGTTTGCTCCTTGGGGCTGTGTCCTGGACTGCCATTCACACTCTCGATCTTGAACGCCTCGCTGTAAGCCCAATTCCTGGGGAGCACACCCCGTTTCCTACGCCTGGGAGTGATGGAAACGCAGCCCTGTCGGACGAGAACAGGAAAAGCAGGAAGGAATTTTCAGAACTGAAGGCTCGTCTTCCTGAGTCCTACAGGGATTCCCAGAGACTATGGGTAGAGGGCACCCGGGGTCTTTCTGAAGATGTCCTTGGGCGTGAGTTCCCCACGATCTGGTCGCAGCGATCTCGAAATTATTCGGAAAGAGGCCGATCATCCCTCAGGGCTGGAGATTATGCTGGAGGCTATTTCCTACCATTTGGTGGCACTACCCCGCCCATCGAAGTTGTTCGGTTTGGCTGGTCCCTGCTGAAAGAATGGTGCTCGAAAGAACGAGTAGAGTGGAATGGACGTCTTGGTCTCTGATTCATGTTTCATAATTTCTCCTTTGTTCTCCTCGTCGCTCGGAATATGCTTCATATGGCGTCTCAGGGGAGGCCTTGTCTTTTTTCCCGCACAAGTCATTTCCTTTCTCTTTATATTTTCTCATGATACCACGAGCCCTGGATTTTCATGCAGCTATTTGCAATTCGAATATACCATGGGACATGCAAAAGAATAAATTATTTTCCCAGAGAGCTAGCTGCTTTGGAATCGCGTACAACCGAGATATAAATGTAGAATGTATTTGCCTGTCAAGTCTTCTACTTGAGAGTTAGGAATTTCGCTAAAGTATATAGGAATGTTTTAAAACGCTCAATGGTACAAAGGATTGTTGCAAATGTCATAACCATGAGAGAGAATGCGTTAGGGACTTATAAGATGAAGAAAGAACGACAAAAAAAAAACGACCTAGACCTCTTGATATTCATGCCCTAGGTGAGGCTGCGAGTCACCAAAGAGCCAACCAGCCTCGCGGCAATACCGGGCTTCTCTGCCGTAAATACCGACCTCGCTTGCCCAGCAAATAACCGCTGCGTCTACAATATCTGCGATCACACCTTCCATTGCGCCCAGTGTGGTCCAACCAATTGTTCCAGCAATAAGGCCGACGACGTAGGCATAAAGACTGCCACGAATGGTACCACCGGATGCCGACATTGTCAGGCTTCGAGCAGTAGTCACCCAACCGCCGAACCCTAAAGCCAAGGACATTATGAAGCGGGCAGCGTAGAGGATCAATTTAGACAGCCTGTATGAGAGTAAAGACCCAGAGCTCCTGGGAGACCGAGAATATGAACGGGGGTTTAAAGACGTGGAGGCCGCCGATGGGGCAAGGACAGTCATTTGGCTCAAACCCCGGGAGGAGGCGGCAAGAGGTTGCGAATGAATCGCTGCATAGGTGAGAGAAAGAGGATTGGTCAAGTAAGTAATTGGGGTGGGAACGAGTGAATAGGCGAAGAGGCTAAGCAACGAGCAGATGCGATCTGGTAGCAATAGAAGAGGAAGTCGAACCAGTAGCCCGAGTAGTCTGGACAAAGAGATCGTGCCAAAGAGAGTTGTGGCGGCATGAACGATGGCTGCCTGAACAATCTGCCTCGAGGTGGGCGCGGGTGTGGCCAAACGGTGGAAATACCACTGGCTCACTGTTGCAGCGGTGACAGCACGCTGGATGCCTGCGATGACGCCGACCGACCATAGATAAACTACAACGAAATAGATAGCGAGCCACCAGCTACCCACGTCAATGATGAACGATCTTGAGCTAACAAGGTGGCCGCCCAAGAAGACACGAGTGAACATCAGCATCCAGATCCACGTCCAGGAGACAACGCAGATTAGGGCACCCAGACCAAGAGCAAGCAGCTCGGGATTGGCGGCCAAGATTCGACAGGCAAATTCAAGAATGCCTATGGCCTTCCCTATAGACTGACGGCCACGCACAACATTGTAGATCCACATGGTAGCTATGAGAAACGGGACAGCAGAGCCCCACCTCATCGCCTTGTCTTGGATACTGGTGCCATGCCACGGTCCCTTGAAACTTGAGATGAAAGGATACAAGGAGAAAGAGTATAATATAGTGGGAACGGCGACTAGAATCACATGGACTAGAAGTCGCACATAGGATCGTAGTAACGCCAACCAAAGAAGGGACACAAGAACCGATACAATAGTATATATCCCGAGGAGGAAGAACGATCGATGGACAGTCATGTAGATTGTATCCCCCCATCTTGATTTGTCTCCAGACGGGGTAGATGTGTGAAGATATACGAGAAATGCAGAAGCAAATAATCCCGCGAGAGATATCAAAAATAAATGGCCCCAAAAGGCGTCGTGCACTGTGTTTTCTGAGGCTAGCGGTGAAACCGTTGTTGGAAATGAACTTGCCGAGCTGGGCGGCCGTGGAACGTCTTGCGATAAAATCTCAGCCTGTTCGCCAGTAAATCCATGCTGGCTGGTACCAGAGTGCTCCTTCAGTAATTCTCGTTCTCGGAATCGCTGAACAGGTGGGTCGTGAGCACCGGGACTGGATAACGTCTGATCATCGTCAAAATCGGCCCGTAAAGAATCCT